CCCCCTGAGAACTGAGCTTCCCCAACCAGAAACTCCAGATCAACCCATAGGCTGGAAACCCAAAGGTTGGGAACCCAAATATTTTCAGATTGGTAGACCACGACTCTGACTTCGGCTTGCCCCGGGATGTGAAGCACATGCTTTGGTGACCCCACACATGAAGACACAGAACAGGTGATGAGGAACCCTCTGAGCAGCAGAGTCACGCTGAGCTTGGGGATGTGGGTCAGAGCCTGTGGCCTCGCATGTGAGGACGTGGTGGGTGGGCAAATATAGAAAGATTGGAGCAGATGGGAAACCCCAGGCCTTTCTGAAGCTATTTTGTGGATTTGGGAAGAGAAGAGATTTTGGTGCAACAACTGGGATCAAGCCAGAGGAAGGGACACCTCGAGGTGGGAATAGTTTCAAAGTTGCTGAAGTAGGGACCCCAGAGAGACATGGCAGGATGGCTTGCCACAGTCACTGCCACAGAGGCTGGGGAGGTGCAGAGCTCTCAGCCCCACCAGCCAGGCTTCCCTCTTGCCAAGCACCTCCTGCTTTGCCATGGCCAATTGCCTCCATCCCAGCCTCGATAAACGCTTAAAAGCTCAAATCATACAACCCCAGGCTATGGAAATAAAAAGGGACCCGATAGCCGCTAATAGCCGAGCAGCCCCTGCGGCAACAGCGCGTAGTGGAGGGAAAGTGGTTTGCATTGATCAGCGGCTCCTCACCCCCTCCCGCCCCGCTCTGCCCGGCTGCTGCAGCCACAGCGCTGGAAAAACGGGATCAAACCCCGCGGGAGGCGCCAGAATCCGGGTAATGGCAGCGATGGTGTGGTTTGTAGGGTTGGTGTGAGATCCCATTAAAGTGCCATCCTTCTGCTCCCCACTGTCGTGTCCTGGCACGGTCACCAGGGCAGCATGTCCCTGGGATGCTGATTGCTGCGGACAAACAGCAGCGCTGGGATCACAGACTGGAGCGAGGCTGAGCCTCCGGAGCATGAGGGACCGGGACAGCCCAGACAGAAGCAGCTGATGGATGTAGGAGCACGGAAGAGTTGTCCTTTTGCTGGGAGTGCAGGGTACCACCAATGAATTCCCACCCAGGGTAGGACCAGCTCATGAGAGACCACAGGAGCCCTCGGCTGCAGGACGAGGTGGAGGCAGGTGGTTCATCACAACACTGAGTGGAGAAGAACTTCAGTGCCTTTCTTGAGCCCCTTCCTCCATGCCATGTCCTACAGCCGTCTGGGAAAGGCTGAGGGCAACCAATTTCCATGGGAGCGTTGTAGCTCCCTGGCAGCCTCCCAAGTCAGCCTCACAGGTCAGTGGCAAAGGGAGGACGTCAATTTGAGAGATGAGGTCTCTGTTCCAGCCAGAACAGCTCTTGGGAGTCTGTAAAAGCAGATCAGGACATGCCCACCTATGGATGGAGAGGATGGCAGGAATTGTTTGTGTTGGTACAGGATCCACTGGATTGAGCCCCTTCCTGCATGTGGCTATCACAGACCAGGAGGAGGCTCAGGGGAGGGATGAGGTCTGGAAGGGTTCGGCTCCACGTCCAGCTTCATCCTGGAAAGGAGGTGGTGAAGCAGAGGTGTGATGATGAACCATGTGGCTGGAGGGTGGACAGGGACAGTGGTTGCTGCTTCCACCAGTCAAAAAATTGGGGGCTATTAAATGAAACTTGTGGGGACAACAGGCTTGGAAAGCTGGAGGATAAAGCTCTGAGCAGTGTGCCAAGAACTCCCTGCTGCAGGATGCTTTGGGGGCTGAACATTTCCACAGCTTCAAGAGAAGCTCCTGGAGATTGACTGGGGAGGGCCACTGCATGTGCTGCATCCAGTGGCACCTGGTCTACTGGGATGGCCGAGGGATTGGGAAAATTGAAGTTGTACTATAGATACATCTCCTACATCTCGGGAACCTACTTTGACTGTTAGTAGGGACATGATGTCCAGCTGAGGTGACACAGTTCATCTACCCCAATGGTTTGTATGCCCTTCCCTGCATCCCTGTGGCTGGAGACCAGGCTGGGATATTTAAGCACTGGAGCACCGAGGGCTGCAGATCTCTTTCCTGGGCATCTCTCCCTTCTTCTTTCCCTTTGTCTCTCTCTCTCTTTCTTCTCCCCTTGCCGCTCGGTCCCTCCGCCCGGCGCGCTGCCCTGCCCTGGGCGGTCCCGGGGCGGGGAGCAGGGATGCCGCAATTCCCAGGCACAGGTGCGCGGTCCCTGCCGCGCGCTGCCCCCGGGCACGGCCCCCCCGCCGCGCCTGGCAGCCCACTGGAAATAATGTGTTGTGGCAGAGAGAGACTCAGCAGACCACGAAGATCTGCTGGTGCGGGAACTGCTCAGCAACCAGGAGCCACAACGCCTGTCCCCCGGCTCCGCAGGGCCTGATCCGGCTCTGGGGATGCCTCTGCTCCTCCGGGGCCTGCCCAGCTCACACGCAGGGCACCTTCCCACTCTCTCGTTATTTTTCTTTGCTCTTTCCCCTTCTCCTCCCTTGCTGTTCCTCTCTGCATTGTTAAGGAGGTGGAAGCAGCCAAGCTGCCTGTCCCTACATGGGACATCTCCCTGCCATGCCCCGCACCACCGGGCACAGGAGGGGAACCAACGGCTTTCGCAGCAGCCTTGGAGGAGGAGGATCAGGTGTGCAGGAATGGAACAACCAGTGCCAGTCTTCCAGCAAAGATTTAATCTGCCTCTGGCATATAAACAGCAAATGTTTGTTCAACTGACCTGCAAACAGGCGACGTGAATCGCAGCAGGGCCGAGGCGCCGGCTCCCTGCACTTGGTTCCTTGCCATCCAGCAGGGTGACATGGGGCAGGGAACCAGGGACAATGAGGTCCAGGATGCTCGGGGCACCCCAGGCTCGGTGGCTGGAGCCAGGGAGCGATGCTGGGAGGGAGCTCATGCCGCCCAGCTGCTGCTGCATCCCTTCTGCTCCCTCGAGCGTGTGCTGAGCTCTCCCGGCTCACGGGCGTGACGCACACACACCGTGTCTGAGGGCTGAAGGACAAGGATGTCCCTGCAGGCTGTCCCTCGCTACCCTCAACCTGCAGGCAGGAGACCCCAAGCTCTGCCTGCACATCCCACTGCGATGGGAGAAATCAGCCTTGGCTGCTGCAGGTTCGTTATGAGGGGACGTTTTTGCCTGTTTTCTGCATGACCAGATCTTAACAGCAGGGTCAGCTTCCAGCTCAGCCCACACGTGGGTGTGCAGAGGGCTGTCCCCAAGCCCTGCCTGCAGCTCAGCCTGGCCTGGGGAAAGCCACAGCACAGCTCATTCCCTGTCCCCGTTGCAGGTGGGAAATATTTCCTGCTGTTTATGATGACCCTCAAAAAGAAATTTGAAAGGGTCCTACGTAGGACCCTCTTCCATCATGCAAGCACCATGTTCCTGGGGGAAGGTGATGCCCTTTGGTGCCTGCAGTTAGGAGACTGGATAACAGAGCATGGAGCACCTTCAGCCTAGTACAGCCATCACCTGGACATGGGGCTGGTGGGACTGTCCCCAGGATCACCAGTATTCCTGTTTCAGGGACTGTCAGGTCCTTGAGCCACTGCCTGGACCTGCCCCCAGGCAACTCCTTGTCCCAGCTGCCCAAAGCTGCAGACACACATGCTCTTTCCCTTCCCATCCTCCAAATCTTGTCTCCTTCTTCCCGAAAGCCAGGGAGCAGATTGTTTCCCTGAATGGCTCCAGCTGCCACATTGGTGGCAATCTGGAGCTGCTCCTGGCCTCCTCCTTCCCAGGTTCTGCATCCCCACACCAGCCTGACTGCAGGGTCTCCTGGGGCAGAGCTCTGCCCAGGGACCTGCTGCGTAGGGGAAGGATTTTGCTCTTGAGAAATGAGCCCTAGATATACAGAATGAGCCCTCAAACTCTGTCCCCACCAGGAGAAATGCAGTTTTTTTTCTGAGAAGCTGGCAAGTCCCTCCAGGGCAAATCTGTGTCTGGAGGGGTGACACAGACACGTGCATCAGAGTTGGGTGCCCTGTGACTACTTTGCCATCTGTGGAGGAGCCCAATTTCGTGGCCATGGAGCCTGTGCTGGTCTGGCTCCTCTGGGGGATGAGGAGTCAGAAGGCTGTGCCCCTCGGCCCACTCCCAGAGCTGGTGGAGCGACCTTGGAGGAACAGGCTGTGGGAGAGGTGTGACCCTGCTGTCCCCAGGGAGGTGGTGGTGGGCAGCACAGAGCGGACAGCACGGCCTCAGGGGGCTGCTGGGGATGTTGCCTGGACATCTTGATCTTGGGGAAGACACCTGGAAGTGGGGAGGTGTGGTTTAGCCTGGATTGGTTTGTCAGGCTGGATTACCCCTGTTGTGGCACAGGACAGTGTTGGTCCCACGCAGCCAGGGAGGCAGGTCTGCTTTTCCAGCCCTGACACCCAGTTCCAGGCAGTCAGTCCACAGTCTCTCCCATCCAGTCTGTCCATCCAACTGCTCTCTTTGAGCCCGGATCACACGTTCATGTGCAGGCTCACAAGTCTCTGCATTTAGCCCATTTCTGCACCAGCTTTGGTGCCACAGCTGGAACTTCTCCATCAGCTCCGGCATTGTGGTAGCCCAGGAGAGGGCAAAGCCAAAGCCACACAGGTCTGTGCCCAGCACAGTGTTTAGGTTTCCACTCTTTTCTCTTTCATTCCCTGCCTTCAGCAGGGAAATGGTCCCTGGGCTGGGCTGGGGCTGCCCCAGGGAGGCTGCAGCTGGGTGCCTCAATGTCAGCTCAAGGTGGTTTAGCTTCAATGCCTTTAATAGTGTTTGTTTTCCTTTTCCTCTGGGGTGGCTTGAGAGAAGAGGGTCAATAATGGAATCAGCATGTACAGGAACACCTGTAGGGTTTGGGCAAAAATTCCATCACTGGGCTGGGTTTCAATCCCAAATACGGGAGCTCCAGATTGAGGTCCCAGTAGCTCCAGTCTCTGGGTCCAGGAGGTGCCCACGGAGCAGAGCCATCACCCTGGGGAGCGCAGGCACAGCTCACCACCTCCATGCTGTCCTTCTTCCAGGGCATACAGCGCTTCCCGGAGAGGTGTGGGAAGATTCGCACACCCTGCCCCTCTGTTCCCACAAGGAGCCATCTCCGGGCACCCACCGCCATGTCCAAGGACGACATGGGCTGCAAGCTGACCTCGGTCTACAAGCACAAGGAGAGGAAGCCGAAGAAGCCTCACTACATCCCAAGGCCATGGGGCAAACCCTACAACTACAAATGCTTCCAGTGCCCCTTCACCTGCATGGAGAAGTCCCACCTCTACAACCACATGAAGTACAGCCTGTGCAAGAACTCCCTGTCCCTCCTCATCGAGTCCGACTGGCCCTACAAGAAGGGGAACCTGCTGCACCCGGAGCTGCGGCTCCTGCACACGGAGCCCTCCCGGCTGCGCGGGCGCAGGGATGAGCAGGACACCTGTGACTCCTCGGCCGCCTCGGTGGGGTCGGGCAGGACCAAGCAGCCCCCAGGCAGGGATGGCCACGAGGACAAGCCAGGGGTAGAGATCCTGCCTGCTGAAGGAGCTGGTGAAGAGGGCGGCCAGTTCCAGGAGGAGGAGGAGGACGTCGCAGGCCTGCTGCGGGAGATGGATGCGGGGGAGAAGAAAGAGAAAAGCGAAGAGGCAGGTTGCCAAGGTGACCCAGCTGAACCAGAAGTGAATGCTTTGGTCTTCGGCTTCAAGAACAAGAGGGACAACAAGCCTTGCAAGGAGGTGGAGCCCGACTTCATCATCACGGATGTCTTCTCCCTCAAGAACCATGTCATGAAGAGCAGGGAAATGGCCTCCCCTGACCTAGATGCTAAGCCAAAGCATTGCAAAGTGCCAAAGAAATGCCTGGCCAGCGGTGGGATCCTCATGGAGCAGTGGAAGCTGGTGGCAAATGGGCAAAGGAGGAATACACCTGAGGTCTCCCCACCTTGTACTGACAGCAACATCATCCCGTGCTATCCACCTCCAGCCTACAGTGACTACCACGAACCTCAGGGCCTGAACCTCTCACTGCTGGGTATCAACTACCCATTAAACCCCAGCCTCTTCTCCTACCTGAGCCCCACCATGGCCAACAGCACGACAACACACCCACACTTGGCTCAGCTGCCCTTCCTGGCCTCCACAGCCCAGCTGATGCACCCACATGCCTCCCACTTCCAACCTCTGCAGACCCCCGAGCGCTCAGCCTTCCTTCCCCGCTTCTACTACCCCTTGCTCTTTGAGCACACCTTCGGCTCCACTGACAGCAAGATGTCCTCCAGCAAGCCAGACACCCAGCAGCTGGTGGGCTCAGTCATGCCCACACCACCCCAGGCCAAACCTCCCAATGAGCCAACCAAACCCGGGCTGCTGAAGGTACCCGTCCTGAAGACAGGTTTTCCTTGGTCCAAAGGTGTCCGGGAGGAGCCAGGCTCTGAGCTCAGCCACCCTGCCATGCTGGGGCAGGAAGAAGAAGAGAAATGGCTGTCCCAGGAGAAGGAGGGCGGCCCAGCTTTGGGCCTCACCAACCTGCGCAAAAAGCCAGCCACTGACATCTACCAAACCGTGGTGGGGGTGAAGGATGGTGCTTTCACCCACGGCGGCGTCCGGAAGACAGAGCTGGGAGTGGTGACCTGTCTGGAGACCAGCAGCCCTCCAGGAAACCCACTGAAGAGGAAGTTCCCAGCCAACGGGCTGGATTTGATAGGACCTGAGAGGATGATGCCTGAAAAACTCAGCTACCAGGGCAGGTAAGTTGCCTGTGATCTCTCAGCTTCTTCCTGACATCTCGTTGACCTTAAACACGACCTTCATACCCTGTTGTATTACTGATCCCCCCACTAATCTGTGAGATGAGCTCCAGAGGGCTGAGCATCCTCCAGGCTGGTGGTCCACACCAGTGCTCACTCAGAGCAGGATTCTCTGCCCTCCAGGTGTGCTCAAGCACCTGGGCTATGTCACACTTGCTGTCCCTTGCTTTCACTTATTCTATATGTAGCCAGAGGTCATGTGGTGTCTGTGTGGTGTGGTCCTGTGCTCCTCAGGCTCCAGGAAAGCTCCTCTTGTGTCCCCAGATATCCCAGGTTTGCTGGAACAATCGTTGCCTATTTTTAAACACACCCATTTGCATTCCTTTGATTCGCCTTCTGGTTTCAAAGCCCAGAAGGAGGGTCACGTTCCCAAACATTTCCTTTTACCTGGGGCTAGAAATGTGCACAGCTCCTTTAAACAGATTTTCAGTTCCTCCCTTGGTTGTGCAAGTCCAGCTGTGGCTCCAAGAAAAATGTCACAGTAAACCCACCCCTTTGACACCTGGAGGAACTTTCTCTGGAGAAGCTCTTTGTGGTTTTCTGTCTCCACCTGCCCTTTCCCTGCTCTCAGGTGGGATGGAGATATCCCCTCCAACTGAGCCTTCATTCAGAACTGTAGGATGGTCATTTCCATCAACATTCTCCAGTGCTCCAAGAAGAGGGAGAACCCAGGTTTGGCCAGATGAGGTGGAATCAGCACCATTTCCCCAGGCTGGTCTCTCCCATGGTTGGTGGGTGTCATGAAACAGTGTGTGCCAGGGCCCATCCTCCTCCTAGGAGAACCTGCCAGGAGCAGGTCCAGCCAGGGCTCTTCACGATTTGACCAAAATCCTTCCTGGAAGGGTCCCACACTGGCAGCAGCCAGTGGAGGAACCCTGGCTGTATCTGGCCCTGGACCTATGCCCAAGGGTTTTCCTGTCATTTTCCCTACTGACTGTATCCGCTTCTTCCCTGCAGTGGTTCAAGGGCCAACCCTGGCCATGTCCCAAAGGCCCTCGACCACTGGCACACAGAGATCCTCGCAGGGCAGCCTGAGGAACCAGAAAGGGGCAATGACACCGAAGTCCTTCCCTCTGTGGGTGCTGCCCTGGACCACAGTCTCTGTAAGCAGAGCAGACCCCAAGAGACATCTGCAACCATGACAGACTCTGAGGCAACAACTGTGCTCATCGGGGACCTGTCCAAAACCTTGGAGGAGTACCAGGAGGTGGAGAAGAAACTGTCTGATCTGGCAAAGGAGGACACCCCTGGGCAAAAAGAGCTGAGGGACCAGCTGGTCAAAATACGAAGGGAGCTCTACCACATCCACCAGGCACTGGAGAAAGCCACCAAACCCCATGAGGGGCCACTGGACCTGTCGGTGAAGAGATCCTCGGAAGGTCTGGAGAAGGTCCAGCAGGCCAAGAAGGAACCCTGCAACATGAGCCTGGGAAGTGAGAAGCTCCACGGCAAAGACCAAGGGCCCCTCAGCAAATGTCCGGCCACGGGGGAGGCCGGAGATGGGGAGGGGCTGCCCAGCTGCCTCCTTGAGGCCGAGAACAAAACCATCGACCTGCTGATCAAGATGAGCCGCTCCGAGAGCCTCCGTGCGGCCTCGTCCGAGGGCCCCCTGGGCGCCGTGATCAAGGCCGAGGTGCTGCCGCTCTCAGTGCCCCTGGAGCTGCGGCACGTCATGGAGCCCTACTACAGCCGCACCACCAAGTGCGAGGCCGACTCCAGCGTCCTGCTCTGCTCCGATGGCAGGTCCGGCACCGCCCAGGGCCCTCAGCTCCCGGTCCCCGCCGAGGACGGGCCCCTGGGCTGCCGGGCCATGCAGCGCTCCCTGTCCCGTGGCCTTCCCGGCGACACCGACGCCGTGTGTGTCCACAGCCCTCTGCATGCAGACCCCTAAATCCACCTCGCTCGAAAGCTCCTGGATCTCACTGACCACCTCATGCTTCACCTCGCCAGCGTTCCACCTCTCCACTCCTCCTCTTCCCCATGGATGAAAGCTCAGCCGCTGCCTGGCTGGAGCCACGTTCTGGGGGTCCAGCCAGCTCCCCTGGATGACTCCACAAGATGTGAAAATCCAGTCCCTGTCCTCCCTCAGTGTCACAGACAGTGCTGCTGGGCTCTCCATGCTCCTCAGCCTCAGCACCCTGCTCCTGGAACTCCCTTCCAAAGGGAAGTCGTTAGCAGCAACAATGGACCACTGCTAAAAGCACCAGGCTCTCAGCAAAAGGCTCACCCAGCCCTCTCATCAGGGACACTCAGGGACATTTACAACCCAGCTCCCATAGTCTGTGGACAGGGGAGGGACTACAGAGGGCCAAGCCTTGGTCCAGGCTGTGCTCAAGGAGACCGTGGCTGTCACCTTGTGCAGAGCAAAGACACAGTGGCTTCACCTCATGGAGGCTGGAGGGTCACAGTAGGGAATCGAATGCACAGCTGGACTGACCCAGACGACAAGTGTTTTCCACACTCTGGAGACAAGAACATCCTCCCAGTCACAGTGACAAGGTGACATGGCAGCCACCTTGCCAGCTCCACACCTGGGTCCTGAGCTCTCCTCCAGGGGCGTTTGCCACACATGGGGAATGCTGGGCTGTGGGGACTTGCTCCTGTCCACTGACCATCCAGGGTCTGGTTCCTCCTTTCACCTTAACACAGAAAGAACCTTCCCTCCCTCTGCCCCTTGGCCTCTGCCCAAGCAGACATGATGCACATTCCTCACCATGGCCCTGATTCTGCAGAGTTCAGAATGCTCCTGCCCACTAGTCCTAATCCCCCAAATGATGGCACATGGGACAGCAAAATGGGTGAGATGATGCTGCCATGAACCACACAGCTCAAGGGACAAAGACCCCAAAAACAACTGAAGGGACAAACTTGTCTCAAGCTGGAACAAGGCTGAGCAGCCACCCTTGAGCCAGACCACTGGGGACCCACCCACACAGTCAGGTGCCTGATGCTTGTGGGATCAGCATCAACCTTCCCAAAAGGTCACCTTTTCCCCATGTTCCTGCCTCTGTTGGGCAGACTGGGACCCACCACAGGGCAGTCACACCACCCTGTCCCCTGCCACCCTGCTAAGCAGCATCTGGCTCTGGCTCAGGATGTCACCATGCTTGGGGGCCAGGAATTCTTGGAGTCCCTCCCTCCAGTGCTCTCCTCCTGGAAAAGCTGGGCACCCTTTCTTTCCCATCCACACTCCCTGTTCAGGACACGGTGGGGTGTCCTGGTAGCGCCCAGGGCCTTCACCACCTTGACCTGGGGGCTTGTTTTTTGGAATGAGAAACACTGGGATGGGGGGCAAGAGGGCAGGACAAAGGGGACAGAGGCAAAGCCACAAATAAGGGACCTGCACAGCGCATCCAAGGAGCTTTAGACACTCTGGGCACAAAGTGGATATTCTCACTGCGGTGGTTTAAGAAGGCAACCCTGCACATGGGACCTGGGATTCACAAGTACTTTGATGGACCCAGACAACAGGAAGAGTTGGCTCTTCTCACTGCTTTGCTCTCTGGACAAAGCTTCCACCTCATCAAAGGAGCTTATTTCTCACTATCGGACTTTTCTTAAGGCACAGGGGCCTGTGGGGTTATTGGGTTCTTCTCTCTGAAAGGAAGGAAAAATGATCAGCTCAGCACTGTGGCCCTCT